GTTTTTTTTCAAGACAGTACATAACTATCTATTTCTAAAAATGGAAGGATCCGGTAGTTTTTAAATCCTAAAACATCACACTACATCAAATAAATAAACGTTATCATACATTTTTAGGATAATCTATTTGTATTGTTGCCTTTTATCTCTCCTACATATTTTAGTGCTGACCTTACATTTCTGTATTACTATATCTGTGATTCAGCACTTTTGTAAATGATACCATTACAGACTCCTGTGAGCTAGAATTCAGCCCTACCCAATTCAAAGTATAATTGGACCACCAGAGAGCAGCACAGTCCTCTTTTAAATTCCATTAAAAGCATTACCAATTGTCTATCAACAGATGCAGACAGCATATGCCCCACTGAGCTCAACCCTCTCACTCTGGATGTGCCCAGGGTCATAGAAAACTATGGAGCGTCAGTGGAGGTAAACTGCACCAGCACAGAGACGGATCATGATGGGATGTACTGGAGAATTGGAAACAATGACTCTAAAATTATCCTTGAGGAAAGTTTTATCTCCCAGTCAGTGTCACTGTCTGAATGGAATATGACAGCAGAGTGCAGAATAAAACTGAATGAAACTCATGAATGCAGCAAAGAACTTGAAATCACCATATACCGTAAGTACATTTCAAATGAATACTACAACATTGAAAAATACGAAAACATAATGATTTAACTCCAGTATCTAATTTCTCTTTGATAGAGAATCCAACGGTCAATGTGTATGCAGTGAATCCTGAGGTGGAAGGGACCCTGTTCGAGCTGCAGTGTGATATAGCAGATGTTGCACCAGTTCAAAACCTCGTTGTGAGATGGTTCAAAGATAATCAAACAATCCGGACAGACAATTTCACCAACACAACCACAACACCTGTAAGTGAGTCCTCTACTTTGGCAGTCAACATCAGCAGGGCAGAACATGGAGCTGAGTTCAGGTGTGAGGCTCAGCTCGACTTTGGGTCACACGGACCACAACTTCCTGTTCATTCTGAGATATACATCGTTTCTGTGAACTGTGAGTAAACACTCTGTTGTTTCCGGATAAACAGAATAATAAATTGTTCCATATCATAAAGTAAATATTCAAACATCAATCAATGTTTTTTTGTATTTAAAATAAATACAAAGCCTTGATTTGCCTCTGCAGATGCTCCTGAATTCAAGAACACATCAGAGAATTACTTTGTGCCTGAGGGTGATGATGTGACCCTGAACTGTGATGCTGAGGGGCGACCCCAGCCCACCTTTCATTGGAAACATGATGGGAAGAAATTATCTGATACTAATAATCTCAACATCACTAGAGTAAACACCAGTGGGACGTACAACTGCTCAGCAATCAATTCTCTTGGAAGCATAACCAAGGAAATCCATGTTCGTGTAACAATGAACATCCCAGCAGCCCCTGCAGTCATAACAACCCCTGCAGTCATAACAACCCCTGAGCCATCCACACCTAGAGGTAGGATACATTCCTGTGTCCTTTTCATGAGCTTACATGATTCAAATGTATCACTAATTATATGTGATGATCACCCTGTTGCTAACTTTAATTATGTTTTTTAAATGATTGTGTACTAAACTTAAGCGCTCATTAAACATCCTTTTTCTAATGGCAGGATGCCCACTAGTGTTGACACCTGCGAAAATAGTGGTGAGATTTGGAGATCCAGTTTCCATTAACTGCAGTACATCAGTTGCAGTTCCTATAAAAATGGGCTGGGAGGTTACAAGTGGAGACATAAGCAAAGACAATACTTCTGTCACCTGGAGTCTTGAAAAAGTGGAAGACTGGAGCATAAAGTCTGTTTGCTTCATTACTTATAAAGATAATGACAAGGAACCACAGTGTCATGTGGAGCTGGACATCACTCTTTATAGTAAGTACAAGTCTATAGACTACACCCTATCTTCTGTCTTTATCCTGAGGGGAAGTAATGATGTCCATTGCTTATAGATATTCTTAATTGTATACATTTTAAGTGACACTTAAAAAGCAAGTAAATATGGAATATATCATGGCATTTGTGTGTGCATATTTGGTGTATATATTTGATTCATCCATTCATTCATTACATTTGTATTTCTGTATCATACTAAACATTTTGCTCATCTCGCACGAGTTAACAAGACACCACTATTTTACATAATTCTCGTCTTGCATACAAAACACGAGGAAAAGGAAAGAAGCACAAATAAACAACATTGGTATCCTAAATTAGCTGTTCCTATTATTTGTTTTAACTATTAAATATCTCCATATGTTTTAAATCAGTCTTTGTGCATCATCCTAAAATCTATATCTACATATATGAACACCTGGGATTGTAATTTTAGGGATATCATTTTGTTTTCTACTAAGTATTGTCCCTTGCTTTATTTTCAGAGACTCCAGACATTGTGTCAGTCTCTGCGTCGGATCCTGGGCCAGTGATGGAGGGCACAGAGAACCAGCTGAAATGTGACATCATTAATGTGACTCCTGTGCAGAAGCTCACTGTGAGGTGGTACCGTGGAACGGACATTTTGCACACAGATGTATTGGATGAAAATAGGATGATCCCAGTAAACATGTCATCTATTTTCAATTTCACTGCTGAGAGAGATTACAACGGAGCAGAATTCAAATGCGAGGCTGAGCTGCAACTAGAAACAAATAGACCTGACCTTGATCATAATTTAACCTCATCATCATCACCTTACACGGCTGTGGTGCACTGTGAGTTGTCCTTTTATATATCTATTTTTGTATTTTTCTTTACTTGCTAAACACACCCTAAAAATCAGTTTTGCTTAATGCTGTGTTTCTTTTGTAGATAAACCACTAATCAAACCCTGTCAGGGTCCTTTCGCTGGTGTTGAGCATGAGTTCAGTTTGGACAAGTTTCCCTGTCAAGCTGATGGGAACCCTCCACCAATTTTTCGGTGGTACTATGATGGGAAAATGATCAATGCATCTGAACCCCTCACCAGGACTCAATCAGGAAAATACACAGCAGAAGTTTCAAACCGTATTGGCAGTAGCAACACCTCCATCGATATCACAATCGAATGTGAGTGAATGAGACCTGCCTGATTGTATACATGTTTATGTTTAATTTTCCATCATTTATTTTAAAGAATATTTGATTAAATGTTTTACAGATGGCCCCACATTTACTTGTGATGATCGCTATGAGGTTGAGGTGAATAGCAAGCTGTGTGAACCAGAGGGGAATCCTAAGCCGGACATCAAATGGTTCAAGAATGGAACAATTGTGGATTCCCCCTGGCAAAGCATGACAAAGCATGATAGTGGATCTTACATGATGAACGCAACCAACAGCCATGGAACAGCCACTCATAAGCTGCAACTTGATGTTCTGTGTAAGTGTTATTGTTTGTAATGCACAAAATAAGCCTTAGTATATTGTTTTGTTGACAGTGATTTGGGATTATCAATCATATTACTTCTTCTACTCAACACTTACCATTCTCTCTGCAGTTGCCCCTGAGATCAATGAGGGAACTTACAGTAAGGAGGTGAACTTGGATGGAAATGTGACTCTTGTCTGCAGTGCTGAGGGCAACCCTCTTCCTGACCTGCATTGGAACTACACCCCTGCAGAGAATGTGAGGGAGACCACCAGAGGGCACCAGAAGAGCCTCACCATCACAGGAGCCACGTCTACCAATGCTGGTCTTTACATCTGTGTTGCCACGAATAATGTTGGGAAAGTGACAAGTACTGTCACACTGAAGATGAAAGGTATTATTATTGACTATGTACAGTGAAGTGGTTTCTGATGTTAATGCTATACATAGGTTGTGTTATTTATTGAATCAAGAAGTAAAAACATAGTTCAATGAATTTGGTTTTATCTTGTTTGTCTTACAGATGTATTTCCTTGGAAATTCCTTTGGTGGTTGCTGATTGGATTGATCATCGTCTTCATCGTCATCCTCATTGTCATTGTCCACAAATGCTATAAAAAACATGGGCGATATAGTTTTGTCCCTGACAGAGCCAATGATGGTTCAGATATCCCAATGGCTCCTCAGTCTAACGGGACTGAAGATACAGTGTAACATACTTCTTCAATGGGTAAGATGAAACCAGCCAATGAAATCAGTTAATCAAAACGTAACCAGAAAAGTCATTCTTGCCATCTCTATAATATGTTTGTAAATATTGTGTTTAAATGTAAACGTTGGTGTGGTACGACGAGTCTAGGTTTTCAGCAGCAGAAAATGTGTAAAAATTCTTAATTAGGAGCATTTGTTTGTCAAGAAGTGCTACTAACAAAGCCGGTGTATTATAACATTGATTATTCTTTTCAAATGTGTGAATTTAATCTTAGTATAACCAATTTTTTCTATCTCTGTTTCTATTCTTAATAAAGTTACACAATAGCCTTTGATGATGTGTTGTGTGTCTATTTGGCAACTTCATTGCTAATTATGTAGGCTAATGTTGGTTACATCAAAGAGTAATGTTCTTTTAAAAACATTGTTGTACAGCTACATAAAAAACATGGGGAAATAACAGGGTATGGTTGACTGCCAGGACTGATTTTGATTATGAAACATTAAAATATTCTACAAGAGCTACAAATCTGAGCATTACTTTAGAATTTAAGTTATGATGTATTATCAGCACAGAAACCTGTCTGTAGCACTTAATAGAGTCATTCATTATTTGAAGAAATGTGAATCTTTCAGGGTGTTAAAAAGGATGTAATGTGTGATGATGAATGTGACCATGCTCTGTGAGGGCAGCACAAAGCCCTAAAAGCTCCTTGCCTTGCTCAGGGACACTATTAAACCAGGTTAACTAAAATTATTAAACCAGGTTAACTAAAATTATTAAATCAGGTTAACTAAAACTATTAAACCAGGTTAACTAACACTATCCTAACAAAGTGGCAGGATGCGCCTGTGGATCAGAAGCTACACTGCCCCTTTAAGATTTAGGATTTGGGAGTGACGCGGATATGAAAGCTAGTTTATCCCTCTTTCCTTCGCTATGAAAAATATTTGGACATACTGGACTAACGATTGCCAGCCCGTGTTAATTAGCTCATTATGATGCTGATTTACATTATTTGTTGACGGAATCAGAACCGTAGTGCATAGTGGTCAGGGCCGCTAGGGATTATACTTGCCAGGGCCGTCCTCCGAGCTGCTGGGATAACTTTGGAGAAGTTCTTTGTATTCGGGATAGTCACACAGCTTGGCCAACAAGTTGAACATGGACTGGGGCACAGAGCTTTGGGTGAGTCCATCATCTGGCTTGCTTTGCTAGTAATACTTGTTAAGATGGAGATAAAGCGATTTCTTAGATGGAGTTCGTCGAGAAAGTCTGGTAACGCCAAACGTTTTGTTGTTGAGGGATACATGTCTGAAGGAGGACGAGGCGCTGCAAAACGGTGCATTCATGAACACAGTTCCTCTCAGAATCTTCTTTAGTTTTCAGAAGTTAAAGCAAAAAGTGACCTTCTACCAACATGTTGCTCTTGTGGAAAGGGAATCATCTTTGATCCACGTTTGCACATCGGTTGGATGTGCTGCAGGATTGTTTCCCTCAAGTATTTTTATAGTGATATCTGCAGTGCACTAAAATGTACTTGCATTCTAAACGTATTATTGCATTTTCAGTTCCTGCCATACTTCACATATGAATCAAGGCAACTTGAACAACAATCTAATTTGTAGATATCATGTGTCCTGCACGTATTCAAAACATGCATACATTGCAAAAATGTGTTAGAATACTATTTATTATGCACATATAAAGACTTTTAAATAGTGCGGGTTGCTATGATGTCTCAGTGTTTACAGTTTGGCACTCCTTGCCTCCATGGAGATGAAATCAGTTGCTATAATTTGCCTTGACAACAAGCTGATGAAGTGCCTCATGTGTCCACCTGAGTTTCATGATTATTTATTCAACAAACCAAAAAGTGAACTGGTTTCAAGAAGTCTTGATTTTCAATTAAAGTGACTTGGTGAATTGAGTTCTTATATAAACAGATTCCTTAGGGTATGTTTTTGTTATTGCACTGACCAATGTAGCAATTAAAATTACCTGCTTCAGCTGGTAATTTTAAAAGATGAGTGCTGTTTTCTAGGTCATAACAAACCAGGCTACAGATGGCTCCAGTCTAAAACATTTTTAACTTGTTCTGGTAGTGACACTATCCTGAATCTAAACAAACCCTGTTGAAATATCTCACCTTAGAACATATTACTTTGACTGCCACCATGTACTGCTACACATTTGCAACAGTCACACATACTCAGGGAACCTGAATATGTAAATTGGAGCATTGCAAAGATGAAGAGGTTGTGACCTCATTACTGAGTATCCCCCTAGGCCTCTTCCTCTGTCCCTTTTCCATCCTACATGCTGGTGCAAAAGACTAATTAGTTTTGCCCTACTTTGATTGAGTGAGAGAAATATCCGTACCCCAGAACTAATCAGAGGCTCTATCTGGGTGTAGGAGGCTTTCCTGTTCATCACATGAAGTGGTTTTACAGAAAACTCTCCACTCAAACTCATGTATTCTCTCGTCAGTAATCTTTTTATATATATATATATATATATATATATTATTTTTACTCTCCATTTACTTTGCGATTTTCTCACCTGTCTGGTTAGTCAAAGCCCTTAAGGTATAATTCTGTTAATGTTTTGTTTTGGTTCCCCTAGGCAAAGTCAGCTCAATGGCATCTGTCCCCTGATTGTTGTTAATCCATTGTCTATTTTAAGGTACAAGCTAGCAGAGTGCAAGATAAGTGTCTTAGCATTAGCTGTGATAGTGAGTGCTACCAGACCAAGAGAACTACAGGTCTGATCAGGCCCTACTTTTCGACAGGGTGACTCAGGGCTGAAACTTCCACCCAAGCCTTGTATGTTGGTGACTTTCAGGGTGACTCCTTTTAAAGTTATGTGGCTTTCACTTGACGCCAGTTTCCTGGATGTATTGGAAAATGTAGTGGACATGTTTTATGCATGCTAGGTTTAGATAAACACTTGAAGTCCTCAATTTTTAAGTATTATGTAGCAGTATTTGTTCACCCCCTAGCCTGAATCTGTGCCACAGAAATAGGTTGTGGTGCAGAAGAAGTTCTATAATTACCAGGGTGCTACTGGATGTTCCTAAGGAATGCTTTACAATATGTAAAAGCTACTCAAAATGTCTAATTTATGAGTACAGGCCAGGACAAAGGGCTTAAGTAGTAATGAAATAGCCAGGACACATAGCATAGTTTAACCAGAAACAGGACATTTGCTGTTAATTAAACCTCATGACCATTTAAAGTTGTTAGGATCAGTTTCATACACACACTGTTGTGATTTATGGAAATTAGTTCTGTACAAACCCAGTCTATTGGGACCTATAAAGATAATTCTGACTGTGGCTGCAATGGTTATAAATCAGCTAGTGCTGACAACAAGACAATGATTATGTCCTTGAAAGCTATCTCAATGTGTTTTTAAGACAGTTTAATGAGGTGGCTTTTCTATAATTGGAACACTCTTGTTTTGAATCAAGCAGTCAGAGTTGATTTATAGAGATAATCAGATGCTACTTTTTCTGCCATTTATAAAAGAGCACGAGTACAAGGCCCTTCTTTCCAGGAAACGCTGGATTCAACCGGAGAAACATGATATACGTACATAGAGGAAACAGTCAACATGGCTACCATTTGCCTACTATCAGAATGGTGGAATTAATTTGTTTTAGTCAGTAGATGTGTTTCGTAGCCTTACTCTGCTCTACTGTTGATGTGTGGAGGCTGTACTGGATGCAGACAACTAATAGTCACGTTTAAATCATTCATCAATTCTCACTCTTTAAACGTTGAGAGCTAGATTCAAACAAAGTTGGCCAGTTCCTCTATTCTACAATTATTTTCCTCATCCAAGAAGAAATCTATTGTTAACACAAGCACTTCAGGAAATTGGAAACTGTAGTTGTAAGTTGGCTGTATTGAACCTCATTAGCTTTTCTCTGTAACTAATGAATCTAAATCAAAGCCCTAATGCTGCCTGTTGGTTAGATGTGGTTGTGGTGATGGATTGCAGACCTCTGTCTTAACCTTTAACTGTGTTTCATCATTCATTTAGGTTTGGTCTCTTTTGTTTGACTTAAAGGGCAGGAAGAGTATAGATGAACGTGACCCAACTTGTCAAGAATCTCTTTCGACATGCCCCTCCTCGATAGTAAAGTCAGCAGTATAAAGCTTGGGGGAATTGTTTTGAGCGTGTGAGAGGATTGGCTTGGATATCGTCTATCGCTCTCTCAGACTTGTCAGAGCTTGAAGGTGTCATAAAGTTCTCTCCCAGATAAGGAAGAGAATCACAATCAACCTCTGCATACTGTACAATGAAAAGGAAAAGTCAGCAAACTCAGTTAAATTGGGTCTAAGAATTTGAAACTATAACCTTACATAACATGACATTTTGTTGATGCTTTTATCCATCTGACAATAATAGCATTCAACCATGAAGAAACAAACACAACTAAAAATCTGGATAAACACATTTTTACCTTCTTAACATTGCCCTAAGGCATGTTTGCTGCATTCATGTGGTGTCAGAACAATAGCAAACATGATTCCCAGACTGGGAAAATTCATATGAACGTCCCTTCAAGTTGAAACAACTTCTTGAAACCAGCGTCAACCTTTTTTTAAATGCTCTAAGCAAGAAATACAACATATTTTCTTTATAGCATCCATGTGTTTCCAAAATACAACTTAGAATTCTTGAACACAACAAAGTTGGAAGATTGTCTCCCCAACTTGGGAAACTTGGATGAGCAGGAGCATGTGATATAAATATATAAAAGAAATATACCTTCTCTTTTCTGCCTCTGACCTCTGTTGTGACCCCTTATACTTCCGACTGTCCTCCTTTTACAACACAGTTGCCAGGGGATTTAAAGCTAGGCGAAAGTTTAGAGGTCATCGCCAATATGTGGAGAGTGTGGGTGGACTCCAACATGCAGGAACAAATGTCAACGCGTTTAGTTTATTACCCTCCATTCAAGATTATGTTTAGATGACCTCAAACTCAACCGGGAGGAACGTTCAGTTAATACCCAGAAGTCACCACATGTTCCATATCATGCAGAGTGTTGGCTTAATATCTTTTCCTTATTTGTCTCTCGTGCTTCTTTCTCCAGGACCAATATGACATCATTGAGAAGCACACACAGTCTGGCCTTGAGCTGGTGGAGAAGTATGTGAAGTTTGTGAAGGAGAGGACAGAGATTGAGCAAAACTATGCCAAACAACTGAGGTAGGCCTTGCTGTTGTCATTGTTCTCCCCCAAATGCTTTGTGTGTGAGTGTGTTGCTCATGGCAGCTTGTGTCAGCGTGTGTGTGTTGGCTTTTGTTGGTATGGGTGCATATTAAAAGGCTGTTTATGAAATATCTGTGGGGTCTTATGACTACTTAGGGACAGAATCTGATTTGTCTCTGAAACACTGGCCTCATTCTCCAGCTGCAGTGTGCTCGCTTCCCTCTCTTTCTCTCCAAGTCTCCAGGCCCACATCTGTTGTAGCGCTGAGCTCTGCCGGAGAGGAAGTGGGAGCAGACTGGCACATGATAGACAGGATATGGTTAGGGAGAGAGAGTGAAAGAAGGAAGAAAAGCTATTTTAATATTTTTATGGGACTGCTGTTTATAATCCTATTGTATAAAATAGTCTGTGGTTTCATATAAATAGTTTAATTTAGTGAGCTTTCGTCAGAGAAAGTTGTAAAGCATTTCTCTACCAATTAGTTTGATTTGAACCTTCACTGTCCACAGGAACCTTTCAAAGAAATATAACCCGAAACGAAGCGGCAAAGATGAACCAGAGTGCAGGTGAGCTATTGCAAAGCATATCTCCAAGAAAAACTATTATATGTTTGCACATTTTGAGGTTCAGTATTTCCTTTTCCTTTTAACAGCGAAACAATGTCAGCTTAAATTATTCTTACTCGGATATACACCTTTGCTCGAATATCTTGTTGTTAGGACTGACCAGCAAATAATATCACATTTAAAAAGTTTTTTTTATCTGTCATTAGTGTCTATAATGCAGTAATGTGGGACTGCTGATGGAGGCATTTAAATACCCCTAAAAGGAAGCAGGAATAAGGAAGTCATGAGCTTCTTATTATGTCTTGGTCCACTGCTGTTTGTATCATCTTATCAGTGGTCCCATCACTAAGTTCGTATTTCTCCACCCTTTCCTCTCTCCTCCTCTTAAATGGTAGGTTGTCCAGCTACCAGTCTTTTGTGGACATCCTGAATGAGATGAATGACTACGCGGGGCAGAGAGAGCTAATTGCTGAGAACATGATGATGAACATTTGCATCGATCTCACAAAGTACCTGCAAGAGCTCAAGCAGGAACGAAAAACGGTGAGCGGACTAGGAGTGCATTGAAGTCCATATTTGTACCCACAAGTATACCAAAACAACTGAATTAGGCATGTTAAAAGGCAGTTACGATGCCTTTTGTAAAGGCAACTTGTTGACATTTTCCCACAGCATTACTTACCACTTACCATTCGCTTGTCCACGTTGCTGTAATGAGGTTTGGGTCAATTAGCCCAATTGAGGGCTAATCCTAAAACGCGGTGCAACAATTATAATTTTTTTCGTCGAATAATCTGCAGATTACTTTAAATATTGTTCTAACTGTTTCGTCGATAAAACATTAGAACACTAGCGCCCATCACAACATCCTTTAGCTTCAAGTGACTTTATCAAGTGTCTATTTTTTTCCCGACCAACAGCTCAAAACACAATGAAAAAACTTTAACAAGGATTTCTCAATTATCAAAGTAGATGTTTGTTCATTTTCTGTTGATCGACTAATGGACGCAACTTTAGAGTGTGTTTACTTGTGTGTGACTGCAGCGCCATGTTTAACAACACCCTGAACAAATGCCAAAGGAGAATTTAAATTGGAGTCTATAGAGATTTGAAGGAGGAGTGGAGATGCTAGATCTGTTGTGGCAGGAAGAGGTCTCACTGGATTTCAGAATGCAGCAGCTGTTAACAAGCTCTCCCTGCAGATGTGATGTTTCAACACTCACTGGTAATTGTTTTATTGTGTGTCACTTATGTTGTGTTGCTTTTGGAGGTCATTGTTTGTTCAGTGTCTACCCCTGCATACGGCTGTCTTTCTTTCTGTCATATGACCCGCCTCCCCTCTCCTCACTCGGTCTATTTTTATGAATGTTTGCAGTATCTATTGGACGCCAAGAAGGCCCAGCAGAGTTTGGAAAGCACCTACAAACAGCTCGACAGTGTAAGTCTAGAAACAGCATTTTAAGATGTTCTAAAATACATTTAGCACATTTTCCGTACTCTATAGGTGACATTAGATTTTTGTGATTAGCTTAACTGTTAAACATATTTCCTATTGTGTTGGGGTCATTATGAATGATTATAAAGATTCTGTGTAAGCAAATGGCGGAACGTTCAATATGGTTGTTCAGATAGTTGTATTTTTCAACAGTAACAACATATGGACTGATAGTAGAGAAGCATGTTATACTCCTATCATCAAACCGAGACATATTAAGTTGTTATTGGAGATGTTCCCTCCCTTATCTGTTTTTCAGAAAGAAAATAAAAGAATGTTTTGTTCAAAGTACATTCATCTCCTCATATCTTATTGAGGTCTCACTTAGCTGATGATAACATGGTCTTTCTTCTTTTCTCTCTGTCTTTATCTTTCTGCACACCAGAGTAAAAAGCGATTTGAAAGGGAATGGAGAGAAGCAGAGCGCGCAGCACAGTACGCAGAGAAGACAGATCAGGACATCAATGCCACAAAGGCGGATGTTGAAAAAGTAAAAGGAGGGGGGGTCTTCATTTTAAGGACTACTTACCATGATTAAAAGGAGAATCAGATTCATTTGTTTAACCTGGGCTGATTGTGTGGTTCCAGGCAAAACAGCAGGCTCATATGAGAGCTCATGTAGCGGAGGAGTGTAAGAACGACTACGCTGCTCAGCTTCAGAAGTACAACAAGGAAAAGAACCAGTTCTATTTTAGCGATATGCCTCTTATTTTCAATGTAAGTGAATTACATACGGCCAAACGATCATATTACTACCATAAATGTTTATTTGAGTTGTTAATATCCGGTATAGCAATAACTGCTATTAGTGTGCCAAAATATTGCTAAATGGATATATTATAATTGCATTGAAAAACATTGTGTCGGACATTTTGATGCTGAACTCTGATTTTGTTCAGTATTTTGACTTTACATGCACAATGTGAAACTTTCATTTAGCCAATTTACACTGACATTTAGATTTTTAGATATCTCAATAACAGAAAAACTAACATTGCATTTAAATTGATTCAAGCCAGATATCAGTTCATTTTGTTTCAACTTTTCACATACTTACATTTCGATTTGAAACTTTGATCTGTTCATTGTCATGTATAAACATGGATGAAACTGTTGTTTTGTGTTCTCTAGAAATTGCAAGATCTGGATGAGAGGCGAGTACGGAAGGTGGCGCAGGGATACATCTTGTTCTCAGACACAGAGAAGCATGTGATGCCTATCATTGGCAAGTGCCTAGAGGGCATTACTAAAGCCGGCACTAATGTTGATGAGAAGAATGTGAGTTGGTCTAAAAAAAAAATCTTAAATGGATTTTTATGTGCAGTTTAGATTTATACAGCTCATTTATTTTAACTGTACATCTACTTCCATCAAATGTAGGACTCCTTGATTGTAATAGAGCAGAACAAGTCTGGCTTTGAACGCCCTGGAGATGTGGAGTTTGAGGACTACAGTCAGGGCATCAACCGAGCCTCTTCTGACAGCAGCCTGGGAACGCCCAAAGGCCCCATGGACGTCCTGGGAAAGAATAGAAACAAAAACTTTTGGCTTTTCAGCAAAAAGAGTAAGGTAGGTCAATCCATAATTTGCCTTTCATTAAAAGTCATGTTTTTTTTAAATATTTGAATGTAGTTGTGCAATGAATACACTAGCAAGCCCCCCAATCCATGATCAGCAACAACAGGTCAGATTAGTAGATGACTCCTTGCAAGTCAGTGTGTTTGAGCCACAGTGCCAGCAGGAAGGAGCCAGGAAATCCCCTCCCCTCAGTCACGATGGACCTGTGGTTGCACACACACACACACACACACACACACACACACACACACACACACACACACACACACACACACACACACACACACACACACACACACACACACACACACACACACACACACACACACACACACACACACACACACACACACACACACACACACACACACACACACACACACACACACACACACACACACACACACACACAAACTTCTCATCTCTGAAGCTCAGTATAATATTGCATGAATCTTCAATTTGACTTCAGTGAACTGTACACAATATAACTCTTCTAGAACAGGTCCTTTGCATGACTCAATCCCCTGACTGGGTGAATAACCCCCCCCCCGACACACACACACACACACACTCCCTTCGTCTGCAGCGTGGTTTCCAATAGGTTGACCGGCAGTCAGCATTCTGCTGTGCTTGTGCATTCATCAGCACTCGGCCAAACAACATTGAATTTTCCTCTACAGGCATCCACAAACACACTGCCTCTATTATACTGCGCAGAAGCTAGCATTATGTCTCATCACAAAACAACGATTGGGATGACACCATGTTTGCCAGGTCAGAAAAACTGGATCAGATCCAACTGCATTTTAATGCTATGGATGTCAACATAGACATTTTTTTATTTGGTCTTCAGAATATATGAGGGTCAAGAGAGCCCCACTACATTGCAAATCATGGATTTTATCTCAAAGAAGCACTCCCGCTGAGGTCCAAAATTGAACTGTTGATATGAGTAGCTGACCACTAACCAGCTCACAGCCCCCCCCCCCCCCCCCCCCCCCCCCCCCCCCCCCCCCGCCTCGGCACTAAAGGATCCCTTCTTTCTTCCCTGCAGTGTTTGCTTGTTCAGCGCCTCTCTTCTCACTGCATGTCTTAATGGCTGTGCTCTGCTGTGCACTCTTCCTGTTCTGTGTATGTGTGTGGCACACTACTCTGTGTCATCGGTCATGCTCTCCTAATTAGGCCTGTAGAGCAGTACGAATAGGAGGCAGACTACATTGGCTGGAGGGAGCTTTTGGTTTATGTCAGGCCGGTTAAAACATTCCCACTCTTAGCTGCTCTCCTGTACTTAGATTCCCATAACCCTCAAGAAAAGTAGACGTTCACCTAATGATAGAGCTGTACCTCCGGCTCTCAGTATTTACACAAGGGGCCGTGTTTCAGGGTTGTTTTAGACGTTCACTATTGAAGGCTAGGAGGCATCAGCCTCCTTTTGTAATTTAGCTAATAGATCCCACCCCCACATTTTCACATCCACTTACAGCTGACAGTGAGAGGTTTGACTGAAGTTCGCTCCCAGCATTTCTTTCAAGTTAACTTCTTTCTCAGAGGTCATACAGGGCATTCATCGAGCCCGGAGCAATCTATATATATATATATATATATATATATATATATATATATATATATAATATTTATTGATAAAACGCTTGACTTCACACCTTGGAGTGAATGGTTTGTAGCTGCTGCGGTAGTGGACCAACCCCACGTCCCCTCAATAGATCAAAACAGCTTGACAGGAGAAGTTATGATGCCACTGGGTTATTTCCGTCTGTATCTATTACCTATAACCAGAGCTAGTTTGTGTGTAGGTGCAGTGCTGCTGTGGCTCTGCTGAGGGAGCTGTGGTCGGGGGCTCTCTGTCTTAACTTTGTATTTTTTTTTTCTTTACATGTGTGTCCATGCAAGCCAAAAAGACAGATGTGTGTTTGTGCTTTCATGCTCTCTGGGCTTGTGTCCTGAGTTTGCTCCAGTGTTGTCTTCCTGCCTTTGGTGTGCTTTAAGGTGTTGATGGTGTCTTTTTCTTTCCCTTGTCACCTTGTTTTTGTCTTCCCCTCTTTTTCTATCTTTCTATCCCCCTCTCCCCCATCCTGTACACCGCCTGCATACCTCATGCTCGGGTGCTGGTACTTCTTATCCCCCCCCCCCCCCACCCTAGCTCTCTACATCCACGCTCCCACCTTTCTCAACACCCCCCGCCCCCTCGCCTGCTAACGGACCCAATTCCCCCAAGTTTGGCCGGGACCCCCTGTCGTACTGTTTGAAGGAGATCAATAAGACAGTCAAACCCAGAATCTCTTCCTTCCGGACGCTCAGGAGATCGGTGAGTCAGAGGAGAAGGTTTGGAGGTCAGAAGACCTCCACTCATCAGGGACACATCATACTGTGTTCCTGCGCATGAAAGAATGACTTGTCAACATTTTCAAAACTTAAACATGTACAATAATGTACAAGAAACTTTTAAAACTAAACTATTATGATCATTTTCTATACACATACTGTTTCTTTTTCCTTCAGAAGTTTACTCCAGACAGGAACACGGTAATATGGACCACTTAGCTGGTGTGGGGGTCTCCGTTGTGTGACAAGATGGCCTCCTTTTCATTACAAAAGCTCAAGGCATTTCAATAATTTACCTTATTAAACTGACAAAACTGAAATAGTTTCTGTGTTTAAAGACCAACATGCAGCATACATGATCATGTTATGTGGCAAAAGGCTTGTCTTGAGTTTGTATTGAAGAGGTGGCCACCTGGTGGTGGAGCAAGGGAGAAATGATTGGTAGAACAGGAGGACACATTTCAAAGTAGCCTTGATTGTCTCTACACTTCTATTGGGTCACCGTTTCCATCCAAAATATTTATTTCTTGAAGTTGTAGTTAAAAATCAATATAAAAAGTGATTAGAGTGTGTTACATCATATGTGTTGGTCTATGGGTGGTGTTTTTTGGTTGAGCTCACTGTTGTACATGGAAGGCTTTATATTAATAAGCCTAGCAAATTTTTAACTAGGATATTTGAATCTAAGTTTCGACAGTTAAACATTGTCCTTTGAGCTGAACTCAAACAGCAGGCTGTGTTCTTCCGGAGGTGTCTGTTTCTTTTCACATGGTTACTGTCGCCATGAAATGGTGAGACTCCGCTCAGTGTTAACACGCCTTTCCCTGTGAACTCTATGCAGCCTACAGTGACAGAGGACTTCGCCCATCTTCCTCCTGAGCAGCGCAGGAAGCGGTTGCAACAGAAACTAGAGGACATTTGCAAAGAGCTGCAAAAGGAAGTAGATCAGAGGTGTGTGCACTTTTGTATACGTGGGTATTAATAATCATCTCTGTTGTGCACATCAGTGTGTATAACTCTGGTGTGTGTGTGTGAGTGTTGTTTACTGAGTGCTAAGCTTTTTACTGAAAGTCACCCCCCCTCCCCCTCCTCCTTTGTTCTTTTCTTCAGTGAGGCCCTGGGGAAAATGAAAGATGTTTATGAAAAAAATCCCCAAATGGGAGACCCTGCTAGTCTGGCACCCCAAATTAACCAGACATCCCAGAATATAGAGCGGCTCAGAGGAGAGCTCAACAAGTACGAGGTAATTTTATGATGATGAGGTCATCACTAACCATTATGAGGTGAGCCCATTGAGGCTTTTTGTGATTTTTTTACCTGACTTGGTATTTCTACTATTCAATGCTTCACAATAAACAGTATGTTTTCTCTCCTTGATGCTTTGGCTCTCTGATGTAGACTTGGGTTGCTGAGGCAGGAGTTCGAGGGGACACGTTGCGCTATAAAAGTCATACATTCAACAACAATGGAGGTCACGATCTTCTCAGGTAACACTAAATTCTCTTAATAGACAGTATGTCTAGCGCAATGATGTGTTGTCCGCTCTGTACAGGAAACCTTTGTTTTTCTCTCCAGCCCTGATGGAGCTCACTCAGATGAGAGCACTCCTGATACCTCCCAGGCCATCTACGCTGAGTTTGATGATGACTTTGAAGATGAGGAACTGACTGCCCCTATCGGGAAATGCACGGCCATGTACAGCTTCCCTGGTATGTCACAGGCTGTTTAAGCTGTCTAGCATGTGTATACAATTTCTCCCATATATTATTTAAAGACAATAATTACTAAAAAACTATAATATATATAAAATATAAATGTGAATATTAGTGAGCAACATGGACATTTTGAGATGCGTTGATGGTATTTGGCTGTGTTAGTGCATTTACCTGCTATAACAGTGTGTGGTTGGCTTTGTGTGTATGTATCCTAATAGCAAAATGTGGTCTGTAGCGGGAACTAATGATACACAAATCCAGATCAATATAATGATTCAATGATCAACAGGAAGTGGAAAAGGTGCACAGAAATAGCATGACTTAAAAGGTTTTACTTCATGACTTCAGTACATTTTGAGATGGTAAAACAAATTTAAACTTCAACGTTTTTTGACGACAAGACAATCCATCTACAATGTAGATTAATACTGTATAAGGGTGGATGTAGATTCTACATCCACCCTTTATTATACAATATTAATTTTGTTCAATGGAAAAACTATTTATGCTTTTCTCACAGCTCAAAACTGTTGCCGCTCAATTTCAGTATCACATGTTAGCTTGGTGCTTTTTGGCACCATAACAAAGTCAATACACTTATTATATTGATTAAAAGAAAACCCTAAAACATGAGGCTGCTGCTTGACTCAGCTTAGGAAGAGGATGCTGCACAAGCAATATTATACATGTCTAATAATTAGTGTTTTGTCAAGGAGGATGATGAATTGATATTGCATTGCACTGTTGCTTAATTTTCTTTAAGCTGCCATTGTTATTCAGGGGAGACAGGATGTGATTGCATTATCCAGCAGCTTTGTGTTAACCTGTTGAGTTTGTGTGTGTATGTATCGTCATGGCAAATTGTGGTCTGTAGCGGGAACTACTAGGGGTGTAATGATACACAAATCTGGATCAATATAATGATTCAATGATCAACAGGAAGTGGAAAAGGGGCTAATGCAAGATGGCTAGCTTTAAGTAGCTTCTCTTTTGGTCAGCAAATGATAACTTTCACAGTCAAAATAATATCATGAGTCCTGTGATGTAGTCTTTTATGCACAAACTAGGGATATTTGCTACCACCTACTTTGTCTTTCTTCCAGGTGCCAGTGAAGGGACCATCTCTATGCAGGAGGGGGAGGTTCTGTCTGTGGTGGAGGAGGACAAAGGGGACGGCTGGACCCGTGTCCGTAGGAGCAATGGGGATGAAGGCTACATACCAACATCTTATGTCACCGTCAGCATAAACAAATGACAGACATAATAGGAACAAGAGAAGAAAGGAATTATCACTTCTCCAAACTGTATGCAATTATTCCCATGGGACCAATCATGAAGAGGCATCAGCACTATGGGCGGGACCTCTGGTGTATCCAGACGGGGATGCCCACGCTTGGCAGAGGATTGGTGCTGACAGTCTGTTCCTCCTCCTTTCCCAGTCACCTACCCAAAACACAAGGTTGTTTTACTTTTTGATATCATGTCAGAATCATTCTGTGGTTTTGGTTAAAAACATTTGCATGGACCTTTCGCACTATCACGGTACGAGTGCTCAACCTCACAGCCTAATAATCCATTGGCTGCTAAAAGTGAGCTGAAGAAAGTAGAGACGGAGGATGAAAGGAGTGCTGCTGCCATCTATACACTGAGTGTTAATGCCAGAAGAAGGAAGTTACCTCACCTCTTTAAGGCAAAAACTGACCTGCCGTTCTCATTCATGTCACGCGTGCCACTTCTTAGCTTTACTAGCACTTGCAAAGATGTATGGTGCTGTCACTTTGCTCCTTGTCGGGGGTAAGATCTTGAGGTTTTGGGGAAGAACTCTTATTTTGAGAGACCAAATGTGGATACAGCTCTCCCATCATAGTAAATCACAAACACTCTATTGTTCAGACAATCACTGTCAAGTTTATTTTCAACACATACCAATAACAAGATATAGCTGTTACAACCTGAGAAATGTACTAAAAATAATTTATTACAAATGTGTATGTTCTATGAATAAAACTTAAGTTTGACAGAAGTTTTACTTTCAATTGAGGAAGGTCTCAAATGGTTTCCCCTTGCACACATAGTGGACAGTCTGTAGCCACAAAAGGGAGTTATTAATGCACACATAAAATGTGCTACATTAAGACTATTGTATTTATGTAATGAATAATATATATTTTAGCTATCACAACACCACTATTGTCTTATTAGCTTTTTAACCATTCAAATAAAGATTTTTACATCGTGAGAGGAAACTACAAGTCTCTTAATACGTTGCTAATTATGTTTTGTTCGGATTTACTTCTCATCTTCTCAAGACGATCACGTCCTGTTTTTTTTACATTGTTATAGAGCCAGCAAGAAGCAGTCTCTGCTAAAGTGTCTTTGGTGCCTTTCTGGTTAAAAGCATTGTGTATATACCATGTTTGCATATAAGACATTTTGTTTTCTTAATAAATGTAAAGCACATTTCAAAGTAAAAAGTGGTTATGTCATTTCTGGACTTGATAAAATACATGTTTTAAGCTAACAGTGGTTTTGAGGCGAGTACTGTCTCCTAGAACAGCTCAGTTAATTCATTGTCTGCCCCCCAGGACAGTTTAGTCAATACATGTGGATCTTAAATGTATGGTTTCACTGGGGTTTAAAGAGGCCCCACATACTATAACATTAATGTGGCAGTGGGTGGATTTAAGATTTGAGGTTTTGCTTTTCAAACTCAGTTTACTGTTAATTCTGCTTTCACTTTAATGAAGAGTAAATGCATATTTAAAATCCTAACATCGAAATCATCTGTTTTCTCTTTTTTCACAAGGCAATCTTTAAAGTTCACCAAAGCCGACTGAGCTGTTGTGTGCACAGAAGACAGGATGTGATAGCATTATCTGAAGACAAAATTCCAATACAACACAACACAACACAATTCTTCCAGGTGGCTCAGAATTCATTGCTACGCCTGTGACTATCAACTGATCAGAGGAGGTGCTGGTCCCTCTCAGTAGGTGGCACTGTTGCATAATTTCTTAGAAAAGTGGTGTAGATCTGAGTCTACTCTCCTATCTGCATAATTACGTTTTCAATATAGGCCATGCAATTGCATACCTGATTAAATTGCACTGGCTTCAAAACCATACTGTTTATAAGATTAATTAAATAACCATAAATTGGCAAGTTCCCCACTTTCACATTCACCTTACAACAGCAGACAAGTAAAAAAAAAAAGGCAATGAAATTGAACTTGGTCTACACAAAAAGATTAAACAAAAAGATCCTGCAATATTTCCAATAAAAATTCAAAGTCACTGGTCAGAAATGGTGGAGCTCTGCTTGACTACGGGAGCATGCAGCATCTGCTGTGACGTTGACTGACTGGTCAAATGACAGAGGAATCAGATCATCATTTGTATGCAGAGCCTTTAGTCTCAAGATGCGTTAAAGGTCAGCGTTTCAACAAGGCTGCTGGACCCAGCCAACATCCTGCGCCTGCCTACAGCTGGGAGAGAACACTGCATCCTTGCACCTAGACTCAGCCTAGTGTGGACATTAAAGGGTAAATCCACACTCAATAGCATATAAGAGAGAAACAGTACCTCAAATTAAGAGTGTGTTGTGTGTTACAGTGCTCACCTAGAACGTTTTTTTTTAGAAATGTACCAGTGACAAGATCAATAAAGGTATGTGAAAGGTTATTAACAGGAAGTAAAAAAACACAGGAGTTGATTGCTCATTTAATGAGATGAGCTGTTTTGTTTGGTGTGCTTATATGGCTACCGTGTGTGTGGCCCCAGGGAGAAAAGCGTATCCTTAGTGATAATGGGGATCTTAATAAAGAAATAAAGAAACAACACCATCATGACTGGGGTGTGGACAGGAAAGCAACATGCTCCAGGTTTGAACCACAGAGAGGTACAACAGTAGTTATCTGCCCTTTAACAATCATTACATATTTACCCTTTAAAAACAGACAACAGAGGTAATTGGGCAATTTCACCTAGGCTGTCAAAGTTTACCATACCTGTTGGAACATTTATTATCTCTCACCTCACAAAAGGGATTAGACTGGTAGCTGCTCCACTGGTTTGGAACATACATCCTGCAGAACAATCTGGGAAGATGCTTTAGCAAGAAACTGTGTGTACTAGTTGTACAAGATGACATCAACAAGATAGCATCTTTATTACTGTTTCTCATATCTGTTACACGGTATTAAATATGATCTTTGTTTCATTCATTATTATATAGTCAATGTAGGCATTCCCCTAAAAAACGTTTTACTGTCCTCAACCAGGTCCAAAAAAGATAAGGAATATTCATTAGCGTGTACATTTCAATGTATAATCATCAAGGGTAAAGTAGTAGGCTAATTATGGTTTTATTCATTTTACATTATTTTAAATTAAACCATTCTCAATGACATTGTATATAATAACAAATCACGCGCTGCAGAGGTTGAGCTTCAGTATAGAAATGTGAGGCTGAGTATATGTGACTCTTTCATCGTAGCATGGGGATGTTCTGTGTTTTCTGAAGGATACACAGAGCTTTGAAATGCCTCCAGCATCAAAGATAAACCTTTATGTTGGACCTCAGAGTTTGTGTTTGTTATGTACTTGTTTTTGTTTTTAGTGGAAGCGAAGACAACTAACAGGGCTCACATTCTTATTTACCAACATAATATAATGCAAGTTGTCATGGCTGATCTGCTAATTACATTACATTACATTGCATTTAGCTGACGCTTTTATCCAAAGCGACTTACAATAAGTGCATTCGACCAAGAAGATACAAACTTGAAGAAAACAGAATCATATAAGTACATCAGAGGCCTGTACTACGAAGCTGGATTTTCGCTTAGCCGGCTAAATTCAGGGAAATCTCGGGCTTTCCGGTCCTACGACGCTGGTTCTCTTTTTAGCAGGCTAGATTTCCATGGTAACTTATGCTGAGCGGCAAACCTGCTCCGGAGCAGGTTAGGTGGCAGGCTAAGAGATCAACTCAGTGAAAGCACTGCCTGCTGACCAATCAGAGCTCCGTGTGCGGAGTTTAAAGCGATCAATTCATATTACAGGATAGAGGAAATACAGAAAAACTGCCGTTGCAGGAAAGACTGCCGGCCAAAATCAACTGACTGTGTGAACGTGAAAATTAATAGAATATCCCCTCCCATCTTCAGAGCAATCTGACTATTATAATATTAGCGTTAAGAAAGCTTACTTAAATATCTGCCACGACATAAGTAACCGGATCAGAGTAACATTAAGTACAGTCCGCGGCACTGTGAGTGCAGACGTCGATGTGTCCCATTATCATTCATATCATACCACATCATAATGTATCATATATTTCCTTATTTGAGTCAGCTTCTCGAGCCGTATCTGGCCGTGCAACACTCACAGTGTCACATACTGTATGCAGAAGTATTATTTTAAGCAACACATTAAGTTGACGAAACACTCGAGTCAAATTCTCCTAATTAAAGTCAGATCCACTCGTGTCTTGGACGGGGCAGTGATTTCATAAACCTGTTAATGTACGCATTCAAACACTTTTTCTTTTACCAGCTGTATTCACCTTGCAGGTGCAGCTATGTGGCTTTTATCCTGGATAAAGTGTTTAAGTCATGGATGTTTAAAGTTTAACTTCTTCATATTTGACTAATATTAAAGTTCACTTTTCATTCAGGAGGTATGACGCTGCGCTGTCAGTACGCTTGTCCGTGTTTGAGATTGGTCGAATGCTCCAAATACCACCCCTTTCATGTGAACGCGCACCTAACTAGATAGGACACGGCTGGCTTGAGCGATCCACTTGATAACCAGCGTCGTAGTACAGTTTAGCCAGAGCGCGTATGTTTTGGATTGGGCCAACCGGCTAACTCAAACATATCCAGGTTAGGTTGAACCAGCTTCGTAGTACAGGCCTCTGATTTCAATGGGGATTTCTAATGAGCAACAACCTGATGATCATAAACAATCCTAAAATCAGTCATTATATTGTACTATTGGCATAAAATCTGTACTGTAAACATCCATCTCTTGGCAAGACTTTAGTATCTGTATTCTGTGTCAGACTCCATAACAGTTTAAATGATGTATTATAACTTTTTTATTATGGTAGGTTGTGCTGCTGTTACAAAATAGGCGATTATTTCTCCCTCTACTGCACCACAGGTGATTAAAGATTTAAGAGCTCGATCTTCCAGCAGTTGCTGCAGGAGGGAAACCTTTAAGCTTCTCAGCAGCTGTGTGTGCTCTTATGGTATACAATCTCACTATTAAGCTATTCACAAAGACAATTTACAAGATTAGTAGGTCAATAATTAAAAAATGAATATTTCAGGTTCAGCTTAAGCAACTGCTTTGTGATATGTGAGTAATGACAGTCCCTCAGAATAAATCACTGCCTCGTGTTCACTCCTGCGGCAAAGCTTTAGGCTAGCATGGAGTACATTTACTACTTATGTGCGCTCACAGCCATTCTGCTGCACAAATGCAGAGTGCCATATTGGAGGCATTCAGCATTTGTGGTTCCAAAGAGCTTTTGATTAGCTTCACCAATCAACACTGCCACAGACTCAGCTTCATCACAAATCCTGAATAACCAGTAAATAATGATCAATGTAATATTGAGTCATCCAATTTTCTAACTGAGACTTCACATAACCACAAATTAAATGTTCATATTATAGTCAAATTTAACAAATCCCAACTGAATGAATTATATTTCTTTATAAGCATGACTTTTACATCAGAAGTCTGGTGGACTTTAAAGCAACCATCCCCAGCTATGTTGATATTTGCCTTCACAGGCAGATGTAAAATTGAAAAATGCCTTTTTTGTGAAAACGGAAAATAGCAGGAAAACATATGCACCTGTTTTAAAATCAGTCAAATAGAAAGCAAAGCCGTAAAATCTGTTTAGGCTTAAGCATGAATTTCTTAAAACATAGAAGCACTAGGTGAAGTTTCAAAGTGGTAGAGTAGTGTTTGGATTTGGTTACGATAAGGGCAGGTTGAAAAAAATAGGGATTCTATTTACCCACATT